TTGTCCTTATTGGACAAGTATTTTTGTAACTTTGTTTCTAAAATTTTTAAGAAAATGTGGTGGAACCCAGCGAACTACATTATAATTGGGCCTAAATAACACCAAACTTAAGTTCCCTGAAATAACGAAACAGCGACAAAGGACACACACTTAAAAAAAATTACAAAAATGCTGAAGGTTGGGACACTAGTTTCTTAAATTTACAAGCTTTTATTCGCCATTCAAATTGACCTATTAGGTTGATACGCCCAATGTTTTGCACTTTTAATCTATCAATTACATTAAAACATAGTGCAAGCCGCCACACAAAACTTTGATGATAAACCAAGAAGTCGACGGATTTGAGGGCATTTAAAGAGCTGCATTCTTGAAGAGGTTTAATAATTTTCATTTAAGAAAATTTTCAACAAAGAACTTCATTTACACTAAAATACGACAAGTTACCACTGCCGTGCTCGAGAAACGTAAGTGTTTTTATTTATTTAACGCAACGTGCCGTGCCGAGGTGGATTAATTTTTGAATACGAATAAATAATCTATTTTCTTTTATTTGATTGAATATAGGATTTGTGTAACAAAACTAAAAATATAAACCAATTTCTTTAGGATTGCCACAAAATATTATTATAATAAAAATATAGCCAATAAGGCATCCGTTGAAGTTTAAATTAAAAAGTATATTTATTAAACGAGATAAATAAAAACATATTGTGCGTTCTTCTGCATTTTTTCCCATTTACACGTTTTTAAATAGTGTAACGCTGAAATGATAAAGAAAGTTTTCCACCTGAAATAGCTAGGAAAATCGGGCATGTGACCTCATGTGTTGGTGCAACGCTCAACCAAAAAGGGGGAATGTAAGGAGAACGGAACGTTCACGTATTTTGTAATTTTCTTTTATAAACCGACAGTTTTTCTTATCCTTTTTGATTATTATATTAAAATAAATCTACATTCACATAACATAATCAAACATCTAGGTCTTTAAAACAACCTTGCACATATAAAATCCAATCGTTTTCTTTTTTTATCTTTGTGTAAAACTTTTAAATTGTTGATTTTTGTTGTCTTTATAAACAAGGTTTAGCTCTGGCTTTTTTAAACCTTATCACCAAATAGCAAAAAACAAATACATGGAAATACAACAAATACTGAATAATGTTTTAAAAGCAATATTCAAATATAAAAACATATAAATAATAAAGAAATTAAAAATTAAAAAAAAAAAAACAAATTACAGAGATTGACAGGGGTTATATTCGTTTTGGAGAAGTTTAAATTGAAACATCACATAATAAATAAAGTTTTGAATATTCAAATTTAAGTCAAATGGTCTAGTAGAAAATTGAAATATGTGAAGACCCATTAAAAGACCCGGGCCTACATAGCATTTTTTGTTTCATTGAACAATTTAATGTGATGAACAAAATTTATATGACAAATTAGTTTTACCTTTTTAGAATTTTGCAAAGTTCCTTTAATTCTGTTGGGAATGATCTCTGACTTTTGTTTTTAGTACTTCGAATTTTTCTCACTAAAACTTTTCCTTGTTGTTTTAATGGTATAACGGGAATTGTTTTTGCCTCTTTTTCCAATCGATTTTCAAATTCAAGTTTCCGGTCAACACTTTCCCAAAGGTTTTTTTTTTTTAGTGCTTCCAACTGTTCTCATCGATTTCATTCAGTTTTCCGGTTCAAACTTTTCCCTGTTTTGTTCCATTTCAGTTTTCATTTCTCTCCATTTAAATTCCATGCGAACCATTTTTCTCTAAAACTTTCTCTTCAAAATCATATTTGAAACAGTGCGGTTTCTCCGAATTTGCAAAAACATCAAAAGATAATTCAGAAAGAAGAATTGTACATACTAAAATTTCCATTGTTATTTTCAATGTGTCACAAAAGCTTTCCTTCAAACGAAGAAAATAAATTGAAAATATATGGGCAACGTGGATATAATTTGAGAGAATGATACAAACTTTAGTGTCCTTACTTAAAAGGGAAGTTAAAAAAGTATCTTCATACCTTAAAATAATAACAACTCTCGGATTTAAAAATCATGACTAGGTGGAATATTCCATTTAACCAAATTTCTGTGAATTTCTAATATCATACAAAATTTTATCAAAACTCCATAGCATAGACAAAACAAAAATAGCTTAATAATCATTATAATTTAGGTACCGACTTATTAATAATAATTTTAATAGACAAATAGCAGATTTAGCCCCGCAAAAGATAGGAAAACAAATTACAAATAAAATGTTTTTTTGAATTTTTTATTTAATTTCCAATTAAATGAACCACCCACAAAAGAAGCAATTGCAATTTTTTTAATCTTAATATACTGACGTAAAAACTGCCTTGGAAATCTGTTATTTATGAAAAATGCATAGGCAACGTGATTTCTTCATGAAAACTGCATAGTCGGAAATGTGAGATTTCATGAAAACTGGACGTGCAAATGTTATTACTGCATTCAAGAGGAGTCTGCATCAGCGAAATGAAAGTCTTGTAAAAATGCAAAGACGAAATGTGAGGACAACACAGGCGAAAACAGATTTGGGGATGAGATTCATAAATACTACATGTCACGAAGATTGCATTGACGAAATGAGATTTACGGATACTACATGGACGAAACTTGATTTACAAAGACTGTATGGGTGAAATGACCTGACAGTGTTTTAGGTCTAAAAATTAAACATGAGTCCCAATGAGTCTCAGCGTTTTCTTTTATATCACTTGAGGTTCGACAAGGCCAGGAACAACTGTAAAAAAGATACATGTCAATCCGACCCTTTTCGAATCTTTATCAGAATTGATTACAAACGAGGTTTATGTCGAGTTGATTCAATCTTTTGTTACCATTCGCAACCATCACCGATAATCAATGATCATAAAAATTATAATCATCAGTTTGTCATGAAATTAAAAAAACACAGTTGAGAAAAAACTGTTAAAAACAAATATTATCGTACGTCGAAATGAAACTAACTTTTGAAAAATATTTTGAAAGGACCCATCACTATCTAAATTAAGATGTAACTGTTTGCTGCTCTAACTCTTATTGTTTAACTAAAATATTTAAGCTATTGTATATTTTTTCAGCGTAAATAAACTTTTTAAAGATATAATTTCCTTGATCATATCTCGTGTTAGTCATAATAAACAAAAAATCCCTCTCATAACTTTGTCAAAACAAGGAAATAAAACCAATCTTGAATACAATAGAGAGACGTGGCTTTATTTTTCAAAAGTGAATAGCTTTTGAAACGTTTAAAGCAATTTACGAGTTTGACTTTATTCATGTCATTATCTCTAACATTCGATACCTGAGGTTAGTTTTTATAAAAAAAGTAATATTGCATGTATTTCATTTTTAAATGACATTTCATTGCAAAGATCTTTCCCAAAAACCCTTGGTAATAGCGACTGTATGGCCTTAGACCTCAACTTGTCCTATACTCAAAATCTGGCAAAGATCACCACTGGAACAAGGCAACTTCTGTTTCATGCGCTACATCGAAAATAACAAGTAACTCGACAGGGGCGACACAATATAGGGAAAGACACCCGACAGTAAATAAACTGAAAAAAAAATATTTTCTGTTTAAAACAATTAATCGGATATCTGTATATTTCACTCTTACAGTTATTTAACTTTCACTACAATTTTATGCTGATGAATTTGCATAGAAAGTCGCCTACAACAGCAACCATTGACGAATAGCGTCAAAACTTGCATTTTAATATATAAATGATCGGCATCTATCAATTTAGTCATGGAGAATATATAAATTATTCTTGTATATTACATTGAACTACATTGTTACAGAATACACTGTTTCTGGATATTATTTATGAGTTCAAAAATAAAATCTGACATCTGATACAGTAAAAAAGCAATGATAAAAAATCATGTGACTTTTTACTTAGAAATTGGAGTGGTGTTTAACCTTAATGTCTTTTAATCAATACCAGTACAATCATCAGGGTGATCGGCCATGTTAACTGCATATTTTTTCATTTGAAAAATTTTTTAATTATCGTCTTTTTTAATTCAATTTCCGTCACTTCCCACAAAAAATAAAAAAAGAAGATAAATATATTTTAGTAAAGGTATGAAACTCGCCGCTTATTCTCAAGACACTCATCTTAAAGCTACATGCCTCCAGATTGAGTCAAAATATTTCATTTAAACTCAAAACTTTGAGAAAATGTACGAAAATGTGAAAGGAAAAAGTAAAAAAGTTTCAAGCATTCAAGTTAGTATTTTAAATATAATGTGCGATTAATGGAATTTGATTTTTCAGTACAATGTATTAACGCCTTATTTTATTCTGTGTTTTCTAACGCGGTTAAGGCTATTAATTTGCAATATTTTACCACTTTTGGTAAATTTCGTGGTTTCAATGTTTAAAAAATTTGTTGAATTCTGCTTAAGCCCGGTGCTAAAAGGGGGCGTGGACGGTAACTTGCACTTTCCAGTACCGTCCATGAACAGGCTCAATCAAACCGAGCCTGCAACATTTTCAATTTTGCCGTGTTGGGCTTTCTTTAAGACGTATATGCTATTGTCATTTAAGCTCTGGCTTGGAACCGTTGTGTGTTCATATCTACTGTTCTAATGTGTACCCGGCTGCATGAAAACTCGTCCAAATATATCTTCATATTGAGAACAATGATGTTAATTAATCTGATCCTTTATTAACAATATCGAGTGAGATAACACAGTAATGAGACATTGTGACGTTGTGTTAAAATCATTATATCATGTAGTTAATATCAAATGTCTTTAAACTTGTTCATGAATGAAAACGGTTTAATAGTTATCCACAGAACAATCATTTTGCATCTGTTTCATCAACATGTTTGATAAAACTTAATAACTATATTACATCTCATGTGAAATCATAAGCAGTAAATAATGTATTTATTTATGGAGTGAAACTCCGGAAAATGTGTTCCAATCGTGTAAAGAATGATGTCGGATTATATTACCAGAGGTACTACCAGACGGCTGAACCCACACGCTCTGTCCAGCTTTTAACACAGCGACAGTGTCAGCTGTATCACAGTCGAGATCATCTTGGTCTTGAATGTATGTTTTAGTGTATGCTACACCATCAACCATTATATCCACGAACAAATGTTTGTTACTATACAAACAAAGTGCTATAGTAAAAAGATATGTTCCCTTTGTGGCCGTAAATTTCCCTGTCTGCCTGCTATAGGCATCTCCTTCATTGAAGAGTACTGTAGGGAACACTATTACTTGACCTACAGGAGCGGCGACAGTGTGAGTATTTAGACTTGCCTTGAATGCCACAGTTGGTGTCTCAATCCGATCTGGAATAGGATCATAAGTAAGGTTAACAAAATGATATGTCTATGAAAGAGACATAAATAGAGAATATTGAGTGTACACTTTGTATTTCAACTCGATTCGACAATAATAGCAAGGCACCTTGTTTGTCCTTATTGGTACAAGTATTTTTGTAACTTTGTTTCTAATTTTTAAGAAAATGTGGTGGAACCAGCGACTACATTATAATTGGGCTAAATAACACACCTAAGTTCCCTGAAATAACGAAACAGCGACAAGGACACACACTTAAAGATATTACAAAAATGCTGAAGGTTGGACACTAGTATTCTTATTTACAAGCTTTATTCGCATCAATTACCTATTAGGTTGATTACGCCAATGTTTTGCACTTTTATCTATCAATACATTAAACATAGTGCAGCTGCAACAAATCTTTACTAACCAAGACGTCGACGGATTGAGGGCATTTAAAGCAGCTCATTCTTGGAAAGTTTAATAATTTTCATTTAAGAAAATCAACAAAGAACTCATTTACACTAAATACGACAAGTACCATGCCGTGCTCGAGAAACGTAAGTGTTTTATTTATTTACGCACGTGCCGTGCCGAGTGGATAATTTTGAATACGAATACATAATCTATTTTCTTTTATTTGATTGATATAGATTTGTGTACAAAACTAAAATAACCATTTCTTTAGATTGCAAAATATTATATAATAAAATATAGCCAATAAGGCATCCGTTGAAGTTTAAATTAAAAAGTATATTTATTAAACGAGATAATAAAAACATATTGTGCGTTCTTCTGCATTTTTCCATTTACACGTTTTAATAGTGTAACGCTGAAATGATAAAGAAAGTCTTCCACCTGAATAGCTAGAAAATCGGCATGTGACCTCATGTGTTGGTGCAACGCTCAACCAAAAAGGGGGAATGTAAGGAGACGGACGTCACGTATTTGTAATTTTCTTTTATAAACCGACAGTTTCTTATCCTTTTTGATTATGTATATTATAAATCTACATTCACATACATATCAACATCTAGGTCTAAAACAACCTGCACATATAAATCAATCGTTTCTTTTTTATCTTGGTGTAACTTTTAAATTGTTGATTTGTTGTCTTATACAGGTTACTCTGCTTTTTACCTTATCACCAAATAGCAATAACAAATACATGAAATACAACAAATACTGATAATGTTTTTAAAAGCAATATTCAAATATAAAAACATATAAATATAAAGAAATTAAAATTAAAAAAAACAACAACAAATTACAGAGATTGACAGGTTATATCGTTTTGGAGAAGTTTATTGAAACATCAACATAAATAAAGTTTTGAATACTTCAATAAGTCAAATGGTCATAGGTAGAATTGAATATGTGAAGACATAAAGACCCGCCTACATAGCATTGTTTTGTTCTTGAACAATAATGTGAATGAACTAAAATTTATATGACTAATTAGTTTTACCTTTTAGAATTTGCAGTTCCTTTAATTCTGTGGCAATGATCTCTGACGTTTTGTTTTGTAGTACTTCGATTTTCTCACTAAACTTTTCCTGTGTTGTTTTAATGGTATACGAATTTTTTGCCTCTTTTTCATCGATTTCATTCAGTTTCCGGTCAACACTTTCCACGGTTTTGTTTTGTAGTGCTTCCACTTTCTCATCGATTTCATTCAGTTTCCGGTCAACACTTTTCACTGTTTGTTCCATTTCAGTTTTCATTCTCTCCATTTGAAATTCCATGCGAACCATTTTCTCTAAAACTTTCTCTTCAAAATCATATTTTGAACAGTGCGGTTTCTCCGAATTTGCAAACATCAAAAGATAATTCAGAAGAAGAATTGTACATACTAAAATTCTCATTGTTATTTTCAATGTGTCACAAGCTTCCTTCAAACGAGAAATAATTGAAATATATGGGCAACGTGGATATAATTTGAGAGAATGATACAAACTTTAGTGTCCTTACTTAAAAGGGAAGTTAAAAAAGTATTTTCATATCTTAAAATAATTAGAACGTCTCGGATTTAAAAATCATGACTAGGTGGAATATTCCATTTAACCAAATTTGTGTGAATTTCTAATATCATACAAAATTTTATCAAAACTCCATAGCATAGACAAAACAAAAATAGCTTAATAACCATTAAAATTTAGGTACCGACTTATTAATAATAATTTTAATAGACAAATAGCAGATTGAGCCCTGCAAAAGATAGGAAAACAAATTAGAAATAAAATGTTTTTGGAATTTTTTTATTTAATTTCCAATTAAATGAACCACCCACAAGAGAAGCAATTGCAATTTTTTTAATCTTAATATACAGACGTAAAAACTGCCTTGGAAATCTGTTATTTATGAAAAATGCATAGGCAACGTGATTTCTTCATGAAAACTGCATAGTCGAAATGAGATTCATGAAAACTGGACGTGCAAATGTTATTACTGCATTCAAGAGGAGTCTGCATCAGCGAAATGAAAGTCTTGTAAAATGCAAAGACAAAATATGAGGACAACTTAGGCGAAAACAGATTTGGCAATGAAATTCATAAATACTAGATGTCATGAAGATTGCAATGGCGAAATGAAATTTACGGATACTACATGGACGAAATTTGATTGACAAAGACTGCATGGGTGAAATGACCTGACAGTGTTTTAGGTCTAAAAATTAAACATGAGTCCCAATGATTCTCAGCGTTTTCTTTTATATCACATGAGGTTCGACAAGGCCAGGAACAACTGTAAAAAAGATACATGTGAATCCGGCCCTTTTCGAAATTTTATCAGAATTGATTACAAACGAGGTTTGTGTCGAGTTGATTCAATCTTTTGTTACCATTCGCAACACATCACCGATAATAAATAATCATAAAAATCATTATCATCAGTTTGTCATGAAAATTAAAAGAAAAAAACTGTTAAAAACAAATATTCTCTAACGTTGAAATAATACTTTTGAAAAATATTTTGAAAGGATCCAGCAGTATCTAAATTAAGGTCTAACTGTTTGCTTATGTAACTCTTATTGTTTAACTAAAATATTTTAGCTATTGTATATTTTTTTCAGCATAAAGAACCTTTTAAAAAGATAATTTCCTTGATTATATCTCGTGTTTGTTATAATAAACAAAACAAACCTCTCATAACTTTGTCAAAACAAGGAAATAAAACCAATCTTGAAAACAAAAGAGAGACGTGGCTTTATTTTTCAATAGTGAATAGCTTTTGAAACGTTTTAAGCAAAGTACGAGTTTGACTTTATTTATGTCTTTATCTCTTTACATTCGATACCTGAGGTTATTTTTATAAAAACAAATATTGCATGTATTTCATTTAAATCACATTCCCTTGCAAAGACGTTTCCCAAAACCCTTGGTAATAGCGACTGTATGGCCTAAGACCTCAACTTGTCCTATACTCAAAATCTGGCAAAGATCACCACTGGAACAAGGCAACTTCTGTTTCATGCGCTACATCGAAAATAAAAAGTTTTTTGTTTATTACAATTAATCGGATAGCTGTATATTTCACTCTTACAGTTATTTAACTTTCACTACAATTTTATGCTGATGAATTTGCATAGAAAGTCGCCTACAACAGCAACCATTGACGAATAGCGTCAAACTTGCATTTTAATATATAAATGATCGGCATCTATCAATTAGTCATGGAATATATAAATTATTCTTGTATATTACATTGAACTACATTGTACAGAATACACTGTTTCTGGACATTATTATGAAATCAAAAATAAAATCTGACAACTGATACAGTAAAAAAGCAATGATAAAAATCATGTGACTTTTTACTTAGAATTGGAGTGGTGTTTAACCTTAATGTCTTAATCAATACCAGTACAATCATCAGGTGATCGGCCATGTTAACTGCAGTATTTTTCATTTGAAAAACTTTTAATTATCGTCTTTTTTAATTCAATTTCCGTCACTTCCCACAAAAAATAAAAAAAGAAGATAAATATATTTTAGTAAAGGTATGAAACTCGCCGCTTATTCTCAAGCACTCATCTTAAAGCTACATGCCTCCAGATGAGTCAAAATATTTCATTAAACTCAAACTTGAGAAAAATGTACGAAAATGTAAGGAAAAGTAAAAAAGTTTCAAGATTCAAGTAGTATTTTAAATATAATGTGCGATTAATGAATGATTTTTCAGTACATGTATTTACGCCTATATTTATTCTGTGTTTCTAACGCGGTTAAGGCTATTAATGCATATTTTGACCACTTTTGGTAATTTACGTGGTTTCATGTTTAAATGTTGAATTCTGCTTAAGCCGGTGCTAGGGGGCGTGGACGGTAACTTGCACTTTCCAGTACCGTCCATGAACAGGCTCAATCAAACCGAGCCTGCAACATTTTCAATTTTGCCGTGTTGGGCTTTCTTTAGGGATTCTGTATTTATCTATTTTATGATCACATCCGTGTTATTTGTGCCGTGTGGCGGCTGTAAAAAGTCTCCCCGTACATTTAATCAATGATGTTATATTTTCGATCCTTGAAGATCGTTCGGCACGACATTATTGTTGTGCTTGTGGTATTTTTGTTTTCAACTTTTCGGCATTTTCAAGTTGGATGGTTCCAATATTCCTACTTGAATAATGTTGAATCACCCTTGGGATATGTTGCCTGCTTTTTAAATTTGTCTTTTGACGTCTTAACTGTGATATTCAGGCTTCATAACCTCTGATCCCCTTTCAAAATTCCATTTTATTTAGTTCCGCCCATTGTTTTCTCGTTTAGGGCACACGCTTTTTATTACTTGGGGACCATACGCCGCTTTTTATGGAATGGCACGGAAGTGTCACATTGAAGGTTCCTTGATAACCGCCGTATGAACACATCTGCGGATGTTTCTAAATTCAAAATTTTACTATTTCATGTTTAAGTATTCTGCTTAAGCCGGTGCTAGGGGGCGTGGACGGTTACTTGCACTTTCCAGTACCGTCCATGAACAGGCTCAATCAAACCGAGCCTGCAACATTTTCAATTTTGCCGTGTTGGGCTTTCTTTAGGGATGCTGTATTTATCTATTGTAAGTGCCATTGATAATATGTAAATTGCTTCCTTTTGGTTAATCCAAAATATTATGTATTCAAAAACATTTTTTAAAATTTTCATGAAAATTAGCAAAAATCTGGAGGCGTGCTGCTTTAAATATGAACTCCGTAACTCAAACATTTTTTAGCCAATTTTCAAAATCTTGGTACCAAATGGTAGGGAGGGAATTGATTACTCTTAGAGCAAATAAAGCTGTCATTACAATCATTATAATCATCTATGAAGGGGTTAATATCAAAATCTTGCAAATGGCTTGATAGGGTCACAATGGCCAAACGGGCAATGTCTCTAACTTTTAATCTCTCTTCCCTTAATAAGTGTTTGTTTGAATCCAGCTAAGGACAATGAATTATTATATGTGACGAAGCTATCCTTTTAACTTAAAGAAATGTCAGTGATTCTACTTACAAAAATGGCTTTTTTGAAACTGCATCAAATGCGAATTATCACTGACCCTTTGAATGTGTTAATACAGCTATTATTCAAAGAACCAACTTCCTTATTATTTCTTTTTATTTTGATTAGTTAACTTTAGACGCCAAAACATCCAGCTTTATATCGTTCTTCCGACAAGAATAAATATCAAATAATACATAAGGCAATATATAATTAAAGACTTATTTTAAGGTCGATATTTTTTACCTTATTAAACTACATGTATACCGTTTTTTTCTATTTCGGTAAAAATACAATATATTGACAGACAATTAAGACAACAATATTAAATCGGATCAATTAAAAACATTGTATGATCATATTTCTTTACAATTTCATTTACCGTTTTGTTTCAACAACTTAAGGACACATTAAGTCTCAGGAACAAATCAATTTGTACTTCTTTATAAAAGGCATGCGTTTGTAAATGTTTAAAAAAATGGTTTAAGAGAATGTTAGACGCTTGTTACCTTAAGAAAGTAGTGATAAATGTGAAATAATTTGTGTTAAAAGTTACAAATGTAAACAAAGAATTGTTTGACTTCCATGCAAAATACTAATTCACTCACTATAACTGTACCTATTGCCAGAAAGCAACAAATGAAAAGGACGGTAGTGGGTGACGCATTAAATAATATAAATATATATCAACATTATAAAGCCATACATAAATAAAAATAAAAGCATTTCTGAGGTATAATGGTCCTTTAAAATTATTACACGTAACTTAAATTGTGTACAAAATCATGATATCAAATATCATATGGGAGGAGATCTTTGTCTTATGATTGGCGTTGTTATGGATCCCTGCTTCAGTGTTAACTCACTGGACAAATAATTAAGAGTACACGAGCTCTTTATCCCGCTACTGCACTGACAAAATGTCTTTAGAAACAGAGGTCCCATGTATTTCTATAAGTGTTCTGCACCGGACATGTAAAAGAACCATAGTCTCTTTTGGAATTGGGCAACAACAGTATCGTGCACTACCCCGCAGAAAAGAATTCAACGAACTCAGCAATATGGTAGATTTAATGATATCTCACAAAGGGATGTAAGCCACATCTCTTTGTATTGCCATATTTACGGCGGTTACCACCCCTTCACTTTACAAAAACAACCTGTGACAAAGATTGTTCGACTTGCATTTTATCGGTAAATAACCATCATAAGTGTACATGTATATAATATTTGTACATGTGTACAACATTTTTCCTTCAAATCTATTATATACTCGGTTCAGAGTTTACAATAAACTTCAACATATAATGTTTCATCATTTACTAAAGTACTATGTAAAAGAGATGTTTATTTGCCTGCAAAATATTGATTTGCACGAAACAAATTGTGGTGGCGTCCGTGGCCAAGTGGTTAAGGTCGTTGACTTCAAACCACTTGCCCCTCATCGCTGTGGGTTCGAATCGCAACATGAACTTTGGCTTCTTTCGTGTGAGGAAGCTATCCAGCTAGCTTACGGAACGTCGATGGTTCTATTCTGGTGCCCGTTCGTGCCTGAAATAATTCACGGAAGGGCACCAGAGGTCTTCTTCCACCAGTAAAACTGGAATGTCGCCGTATGACTTTTACTATGTCGGTGTGACGTAAACCCAATCAAAAAAAAAACAAAGCAAATTGTATCGTCCAATGTTACATATTGACAAAGGAAATGTCTTCAGTTTTTCTATTTTATATCGTATGCCATTAACAAAAGTTTATGAGCTTATTTCTTTTATATTTCATTGACCGTAGATCTTTCAAAGATTTAAAATTATGAAGCAGTGACACCTATCTGAAATTTCTCACAGGTCTCATATATAATAAACTTAGTATTTTTATTCATAATATACTAGTATAACGATCACTTTCATTGCATTCTCCCATTCTAAAGTGCAATTGCATTACATTAATTATATTACAGTAACATTATTTTTTCTAATGTTCATATGTTCATAGCATTGTCCATGGTTTCACTCGTTACATTGTTTTTTTCTTGCATGCCCGGTTTGGCAATAAGAAATCATTAAAAAATTGTTCTGCACCGTAAGTTTAAAAGAAACCACCCCGGGAAAGGGGCAGCAACTGTAGCATGCATTACCCCGGATAAAAAACCGAAAATTATTTATAAATTTTAATGATATCTTAAAAAAATTTGTTAACGAATTTCTTCAGCAGTTATTCCCCCTTACTACAAAAAAGAAAACCGGTAAAAATTTTTCGATTGGATTTGGGAATTTTTGGGTAAATCAATCTTTGTGCAGTAATAACATTAAGTCCCCCCTAAATTTTCACTGCAAAGAAAAATATGATGATAATTATATTTTGCATTTGTAATGGGTTTTTCAAAATCTCGTACTTTTTTGTTTTTTTAACGTGCTGTCAATTTAAAAAAAATTAAAAAATTTTTCCCAAAAAAAAATGTTTGCTTATTATAAATTGTTAAAAAAACTTAAAAACTTTAATACCCCAAAATTCAATATAAATTATATTAAAAAAAATTTTTAAAATAAGACCAAAATAACATGTCAAAAACTTTATTAGAGGTCATAACATGCAAGCATAGCCCTTGTGTTAGTAATGCAGTATAAACATGGTGATATATGCTGCAAAATGAATGAGCCATTAAACACACAAAACATGTTAATTATCTCTTGAATCTGTTTTTTAAACTCTTTGTACAGTTTACTTAAAATATTTTGGAGGCATGCAGCTTTAAATCAGAAACACCATACACTTACAATGCACCCATTCGCCTGTTGCTGATGAACGTTCCATAAAGCATCATAAAATGTTATACAAGCCAAATATGACACTGAGTTTATCAATGAGAATAAAGTTGTCCTGTATGGTACCAATTATCATCATACATGTTGTTAAAATTGATAACATTGTTATGCTGGACTTGGTGTGGATGTAAATGTATTAATTGTGTCATAAGTGTGTAACAATAGGCTTAAAACAGCATACCTCCAGATTCATGCTTATTTTCATGAAAATGTTAAAAATGTTTGTAAAATATTGCAAAGTGAACAAAAAGATTAATTTACACTTTGCAAATCCACGTTAATTACTAAAAAAAGAGGTCAAAATATGCAAACATATCCCTCACTGTGTTAGTAATGCAGTAAAATTGTGGTGATGTACATACTGCAAAATGAGTCATTAAACGCACATAACAAGTACATTATAACTTGAATCTTGAATATTTATTAAAACTCTTTGTACAATGTACTTATAACATTTTGGAGGCATGCAGTTTTAAATCGGATACACCACCCACTTACAATGCACACATTCACATAGTGCAGATGATCATTCCAAAAAGAATTCAAAAATTAAACAAACCATGTATGACACTCTTGTGATCAATGAATATAAAATTGTCTTGTAAAGTACCGCATCACCTTACATGTTGTGTGAATTTATTACATAACCACGCAGACCTTGGCTTAAATACATGTCTTTGAAACCCCCCTATTTTTCAGGTGTGGGCACAGCTACCACTGTTCCTGCTTACAGGCAGTTGGAGCAGTCCATGTGATTGATGGGGAGGATACTTACGTCTGTTACCTGTGATGCCATACGAAGCGAGGCCAGACACAGAGCTCGCGCTTTCATAGATACCTTTCCAATCCCCAGACAGCTCAAATGTTGGATATTAAACCAGAAAAAGCAAAAGAGGTAAGATGTTGATAAAATATTGTTAACCTTATGTTTTGGCTCTGTTTGAATTTTAGAACAATCTGTTTGAAGTTAAATGGTTTTCAATATAAGAATATAGCTCCAGGTCTATGGAACCTGGTAAAACTGCACACATGTGCAGGCTGATCTGGTTCTGAACTGGTTGCAAAGGGTTATAGGTTTCCTTTTAGAACAATCTGTTTGAAGTTAAAGGGTTTTCAATATAAGAATACAGCTCCAGGTCTATTGAACCTGGTAAAACTGCAAGCATGTGCAGGCTGATCTAGTTCGGAACTACTTGCAAAGGCTCATATGTTTCAGTTCCAGCAGGTAAAAGGTTCAAATCTTTCTGGAAAATCTTTAGTTGTATGGTATGTTTCTTCTAAATATAATGTAAATGTATACGATAGTTTTGAGCCTGACTAGGAATGGCCATTGTACTCGCCCAGGCATCAGCGTCACTCTTTTGTAAAGTTTTACAAGCAATTCGGCATCTACAAAACTACTGGAGGGAATGGGTTTAAACTCCACACTCTCATTTGAAAGCATAATTGGAGGTCACTATCTGCGGCCAATAAATCTTAAATGGATTTAACAGAACTATGGCTCTTTTAGAAATAAGAAAAATGTACATTATCCAGGCTCTGGTTTTACTATCAAGCACTGAGAATAGTTGAGCATGCTACAAAAATGTCTTGTTTGAATAATCTTTTTTAGATAAGGAATGTATTGAGATTTTCCAAAATTAGTTTCATTTAATGATACTTTCTTTTTTTAATGCTTCAGACAATGTTGAGCTAGGGTCTTTTAAATAATTTTTTTTAATTATATGATTTTTTTTCAGATAAAAGATTGTTGTGAATTTTTTAAGATAGCATCAATTTCTCATATCAGTTCTCAAAAAGTCGTATACAGTACCCCATCTTGTTTGATCCTCTCTTTTATTTAGCATATACAAAATCTCAGCTGCATTTAGGAGCCACTATTGTAAAATATTTGAAATCAATGATCCGTAAAAGGGTTAATATAAAAATCTTGAAGCTGAGAGGGATCATGGCTTGGATAGGGCCACCATGGCCAAGTCAGGGTAATGCGGAGGGGCACCTGAGGGCTTCTTCCACCAGTAAAACCTGAATTTCAGGTAGTCTAAGCATTAACCATGTTAACAGAATGTTGATATATTCTTCTATATTTTCAGGTATGTTCAGCGTACTGAATGTTTGATATATTATTGTATATTTTGCCATTTACAAATATATGAGATACTATATTGTATGTTTCAGGCATCAGAGGATCCTCAACACATACAGAATGTTGACATTGTAAGGAGAGCAATGAGGACGCCATCTAGGGTATGTGATACTGAATTTGTGTCCCTCAAAATTATGTTATTTTTTGTCTGTATTTACAATGATAATAACCTTTGCAGTATAGGTCTGACTCAATACGTTACAATCTTGTGGGCCGTTATACTTTTCCGAAAGCCATGGCATGCAGGTGACATAGAGAATGCTTTTGCAGACATATGCTTTAATTACATTTACAATGCTTGTCTTACCATAATTATACTTTCTACGATTTTGATTTGATCCATCAGTGATATTTTATTTTATTCTATTTTTAGCTTGGAATACTGACAGAATTGGCTAAATCAGAATCATCTTCTAGAACTAGTCGTACCACCTCGTGCATATTTCAACAGGACCAATTTCAACTTAATCTTGCTGCTCCGAGAATATTCGACTAACAAAGTGCATTGGGTCGTAGTTCATTCAGTGAATATGAAGATATGAAAATCAAATCTGACATTTTTGTTGTGGTCTGCTATATGTGAATAGAAAAATAACGAAATATGCGACAATGTTAATGCTAATTGCAGTAGATATTTGCCTATGTTTGTAATGCCAGTACAGTATTTGTTATTACTGTTCTTAGAGATAAGGAAGTTAACTGTGATGGTATATATGGACTTCTTTGGGCATAGAGTTGTTAAAAGACTTATCTCATTTTAAATGTGTGAAGTTGTTTTTGTTTTATTTCAATTGTCTAATGTTAGGGCATGTGCAATAAGGCAGCTATAACATAGGTAAGACATTTTAAAAGATTGGACGAATCTTACGTCCTATCTTTTAGGCACATTATACTTAAATATATTTTTAATTGATAAAACTGCTTGTTAAGCTTTGTAATGGGTCTATAAGTACAAATAAAGCTAAATGTTTTACTAAATATGACTTTTGTTTATGACCTTAATCTTTGATATAAACACACATACGAAAAACAAACTATTAAAAACTAAATATGACCTTTATTTTTGGAAACAACATACATTGGAAACTAAATATATGAATAAGAATACAAAGTTTTATTCAGCATTAAACATGTTAAAACAATGTTTATACCCTATACAAATCCAAAGTTCAGTGTGAACAAAAACATAGAAAAAAAAAATAGTAAAAAATAATTTTTACATTATAAATCGACAGTTATCAAAAGAGATTATTTAATGAAACCTTATTCTAATTTAAGAACGAAAAAAGAAAGTATCATAAAATGTGAACTTTATCTTTCATAAAAAACATACATTTGAAACAAACTGTTACATAGTAAATTCGACCTTTATCTTTGTTAAGAAACAAACATATAACACAAAATGATGTATACTAAATATGACCTTTATCTTTGTTAAAAAACATGCATATAAAACAAAATGAAATAAACCTAAATATGACTTTTATCTTTGTTAAAAAAACAAACATGTAAAACAAAACATTTATACTAAATATGACCTTTATCTTTGTTAAAAACATGCATATAAAACAAAATATTACATACTAAATATGACTTTTATCTTTGTTAAAAACAATATATAAAACAAAATGTTATATTCTAAATATGACCTTTATCTTTTAAAAAAACAAACATATAAAACAAAAAGGATTTGCTTTTGTGTCCGAATCGATACTTTTCATGGAAATATTCACCTGCAAATAAAATCCGAGTTGCATATACTGTTGTCATTTAAGTTCTGGTATGGAACCGTTGTGTGTTTATATCTATAGTTGGCTACATGAAAACTTGTCCAAATATATCTTCATGTTGAGTACAATGATGTTAATTAACCTGATCCTTTATTTACCATTAGTAAGATTACACATGATGAAACATTGTATTTACATAATTATCACAAGTAAGTAATATCAAATGTCTTTAAACTAGTTCATGAATAAAAAAGGTTCAATAGCTTTACACAGAATTATTTTTCAACAACATGCTTGATAATATTAAATAATTATATTACAACTCGTGTTCAATCATAAGCAGTAAATAATGTATTTATTTATGGAGCAAAACTCCGGAAAATGTGTTCCAAATGGTTGAAGAATGGTAAATTATATTACCAGAGGAACTACCAGACGGCTGAACCCACACACTCTGTCCTGCTTTTAACACACTGACAGTGTCAGCTGTATCACAGTCGACATCATCGTTGTCGCGAATGAATGTCTTAGTGTATGCTACATCATCAACAATTATATCAACACGCAAATATTTGGTTGCCTGCACACATAATGCTATAGTAAAAAGATATGTTCCATTTGTTGTGGCCGTAAATTTCCCTGTCTGACTGCTGTAGGCATCTCCTTCATTGAAGAGTACTACAGGAAACACAATAACTTGACCTACAGGAGCGGCAGTGTAAGCATTTAGTCTTGCCTTAAATACCACAGTTGGTGTCACAATCTGATCTGAAATAGCATCATGGGTAAAGTTTACAAAATGATATATTAATAAAAGAGATATAAAAAGGATATTGAATGAGTGAACACTTCGACGAATTGCTAAATAAAATTTTGATTAAAATAAAAATAACGATTAATGCGTCTAATTTTATTTATTGCTTGTATGTAAACAAAATTTTGTCGAAATTTATAAACGGTTACGAGCATAACAGAGCTGGTTTATATGGTCACAATGAAAACAAAAACTGCAAAATGAAACTATGTCGTATATAATTTTGTTTTAATACTATATATCTCAACTCGATATGAACACCATATCTAGGTATCTTCTCTTTATTCGAACAAGTATCTATACAAGTAAAATGGTTTCCTGCGGGGAATATTTTTAATGATATAAAGATATTTCATTTAACTATTTTCAACATTGTTTAGGGGATAAATAAACGTTTGTATCAGGAATATAGTTGACAATAATCGATCAATATATAAGAAGGTCTTTGGAAACTAGTTAGTGACCGTTGAAGACCGGAGACCGGAGAATGTCGAACTTAAAACAATTATTTCTTTTCAAGAAAATGATAAAATACCATTTTCTGAATAATTCCGAGCAAAATCAGTTATAGTAAAGACACATTTTTACGCCGAAAATATCTCTATTTAGTATGGCAGATTTTCAGTATGAACAATTTATTGTTTGTAAATTTTGAGATAGATATTAAAAAAATGATAATTTTCAAACACATCATTCACGTTTTTCACCTTAAACGGTAAAATAATTATAGAAAATTAGGAATATCACGTAATAGTTTTTTGTTGTTCATTAGGTGTAATTCGGACTAATTCCCTAGAGGTAAATCCGTAACGTACCGGCAAACGGTATTTAGCTAGGTTTTCGAAAAGGTCAGTTAACCAATCATGTACGGTTTACAGATCACATGCTCCTCCATGTACCGAAAACAGGTCACGTGCTCCTCCATGCCTCAAAAGTTAAACGCGTACCAATACACTGCGGTCTTCAGACCGCAGGGAATAATTATATACTTAAATTAGAAAATACTGTTGGGGAATTCGAGACTACATTATGATATATGATGAATAACACGCCTAAGTTCCCTGAAATAAGAAATAAGCGACTGGGCGTAACAGGTCCGAGTTCGATGTAACGAACGTGCCTTGAGGTTGTTGACCACTCGTGTTTTTATTTATAACCTATATTCGCATAGATTACCTAAAGGTTGATAAATTCATGATAACATCAAATCAATAATTTTCCGACGGATTGAGGGCATTCTCTATGCAGCTCTGTCTTGGAAAGTTTGATACTTTACATAAAAGACAATCAATTAAGAACATATAGTGTTTTATCTATATTCGCACGCGCCGTTCCGTGTGGATAATTTTGAATGCAAAATCATACTTTCTTTTAATTGAATGATCTTGTTCAATACTTAAATAACCATCTTCATTTAGATTTATTGATACCGTATCTCGCAAAATATTACATTGTAAAATGGCCATTAAGACCCGTGTTGAAGTGAATATTAAAAACTAAATCTTTTGAATGAGTTGAAAAAAGCTCATATTGTGCGAGCTTCTGACATTTATTGCATTTACGCTTCTTTTTCAGAGTAACGCTTACATTAGCACGCTATGTTTGTACATTACACGAAATTAATAACGTCTCGTCAAATTTCGTTTTCTCATGTATCCGTGCGGCTTTAGCTACTCCGTGAAAAGGGTATTGCACAGCGGTGAATATATTTTGACCTGACTAAAATTTAATGTTAGCGTATGAAACTACAGGCGCGTTATTCAATAGGGGTGTCAATGAAAGTTGTATTTTTTCACTTCAAACGGTCCTTATTTCTGGTATGTGATAAATAAACTATCAAATGTTTGGTATGTGATAAATAGAATATTAAATTCGTGTAAGTTCATTACTGAATTTATTGAACTCGTTGCTATAAATAATATAGATATATTATAATTTTATACATCTCGTTCAATTCATTCAATATTAAACTTACACCCATTCAATACCCTCTATTTATTAGATGTGTAAAGTTGGCGGCCTAGTGGTCCAGCGGCCTGAAGTTGGTGGTCCAGCGGTTTGGCAGCGTGAAGTTGGCGGCCCGGCGGCCTGGCGGCGTGATGTTGGCGGCCAAGGGACCTGGCGGTGTGAAATTTGCGGTCTTGCGGCCTAAATTTTTAATTTGTAGTAATGTTATAAAAACAATAAAAACGACAATTAATGATGTTCCAAGGACAATCCTTGTTATTTTAAGTTATTTAATGAATACATAAAAATAATTAAAAATCCCTTTGAGGAAACTTTTTTTTATTTAAAAGCCGGAAATTTTACAGTTGTAAAAATGTTCTAAATATGATAAAAAGGGTCATTATGAAGATCCTAAGGCTATTCTTGATATTTCAAGGTATATAAAATAAAAAAAATCACTTTGAGAGATCATTTTTGTGAAGTTTGCGGCCTACCGGCCTAATATTTTAATGTTATTGAAATATTATATAAACAATGAAAAGGGATTTAATGAAGTTCTAAAAACAATTATTGTTATTAAAAAGGATATATAAACAGAAAATAATCACTTTGAACAAAAAAATATTTTATCATTTTTTGTGAAACAATTCCATTTACATATATTGACAGCTTAGATGATTTTGGAGAAGACGCTTATTGAAGTTAAAGAAGACATAGATTATCTTTTTGATACTTCAATTAGTTAAATGGTCATAGGTACAGAATTTTATATGTGTAGACATTAACTATGAACTACATAGCATTGGTTCGTCCTTTAACAATAACTTGAATAAAATAAGTTTATATGACAAATTAGTTTTACCTTTGAGAATTTGCAGCTCCTTTAATTTTGTCTCAATAATCTCTGAAGTTTTGTTTTGTAGTGCTTCGATTGTCTCACTAAATTTTTCCTGTGTTGTTTTAATGCTTAACGAATGTTTCACCTGTTTTTCAACCATTTCATTCAGTTTCCAGTCAACACTTTTCACTGTTTGTTCCAATTCAGATTTTATTCTCTCCATTTGAAATTCCATGCGAACCATTTTCTCTAAAACTTTCTCTTCGAAATCATATTTTGAACAGTGCGGCTCCTCCGATTCTGCACATTTTAGTAGGTAACTCAAAAAGAAAATTTTACAAAATGATATTCTCATTTTTATTTTATAAGTGACACAAACGTTTCTTCCAATGCGAAGAAGTTTAAATAAAAAGGAAGAGGTCCTAGTATGTGGGGAGGGACGCACAGGGAACATCAGTCTTATGTACCACAAATTGAACATCATGAGGGAAGTTTAAAAAATAGACTCATTTGATTTCTTTTTAGTGCTTTTGATATCAAATAAGTTGTTCTAAAATGAGGAAACAAAGTTTTAAAGGAGCATAATTATGTGGAAAAGCATATAGAATAGTTTAGAAATTTATAGAATTTCACAATCTATAAACTTCTTTACATATTGTTTTAAAAGCACATTATGCCTCAGAAATCAATATTATCTTAATTCTGTTTATATGTCAAATTTTTTAGTTTAATTATGTTTTAATAAAGGAATAAGAGCATGTTAGATATTAAACAGCTGAAAATTAGTTTTGAACGTAAATTTATGTATCGTAAAGGTAGGAACATATAAAGTAGAATTTTGACTTCAATACAAGATACTCATACACTTTAATTATACCAATAACTAGTAGAGCAAAATGTTAAAAAGATAGATCTTGTATATAGCAAATTAGTATGATTTCGGAAACTGAAACAAGATACAAAGAAAAAAACAAATTTTGAGAAATAAAATGATACCGTTTCTGAGGCATAATGGGCTTCAAGCAAAAATATGTCTTACATTTCGATTCAAGCCACTTATATAGACGATTCCTATGAAAAGTTACATCATCAGGCTTATCCTACAAACTGCACTTGCTTTCAGGCCACCTTCTTGAGTTTCTTTTAATCGGCAAAAATTTGGATAAAGGCATGCAGTTTTAAATATACAGTACATTGGTTTTCAGTTTAAAACATTTATAATTAACTGAAAATATCTTGGATTTTCGTAATAGTTGCTGCATAAATGCAAATAATTTGTAAATGAATATTGTCACTTATTTTGAATAAAGCAGAGAATAATTAAAACGACATTCAAGCAAATCTCCGAGAGTTTCATCATGCAAAACTTCGAGAGCAAAGTTATATTCATTAGGGCTTCAGAGACGAAACAGAATTCATAAAGACATCATGTCATGGGCTAAATAAAATAGACGAAGATTGCATGAAATAAACCATATTCATAGAGCATGTAGAGAGTGGATGGAAGGAATGGTTAGCTTTACTGGTGGAGGAAGACCTCAGATGTCCTTCCGTTAATTATTTCAGGCAAAAACGGACACCTAATTAAGTAGTATATTGAGTTAACTTACGATGTTTCGTTACTTAGCTGGATAGATTCCTGACATAAAATAATAAAAATCCTGTTGGGACCCAAACCCACAACGGTTAGGGGCAAGTGATTTGAAGTAAATGAGCTAAACCACTCGGTCACGGATGTCCGCTAAATGACAGTTGTTCAGTCATTACATGTTTAGATTTCTCAAAAAATTAGCATATGTCTCACTTTAAAAAAAACGTGTTTGTTGTTTGTTTTTATATCTCATGAGCGTTGATATGGCCAGGCACAGTTGTAGAGAACTTATGTTTTAACCTTACACCTTTCGAGATTATCTCATAAACAGGGAGCATCGAAGTTTGTCGAGTTGAAATCATCTACATATTGGTAACTTTCGGAACACATTCTTGATTGCAAATAATCATATTTGTCGCTTTCCAAACGGGAAGGCCAGAAAAAGGGTTAGTATCTAAGGATACTAACTTTTTTAACTACCCTCCAAATATTGACAATCTGCTCTCAATTACAGATAAAATGTTAGAATAACAGGATATGTAACACATGCTAAATATTTAATGAATATATCACGGATGTTTACGGCCTTTTAGACTTTGTTTATCTCTATTGTGAACCAAACATCCTGAAACTGAGATTTTATTGCTGTTTCTCACGGTTCATTTTCAATATATCTGGTTCTCCTAACAATTACGAGATAAAAATTAAAGCAAGTACAGTTAACCCCTAGGCAATAATAAAAAATAATTTAAAAAGGGAAGAAAAAGAAAAAAAACGCTGGTCAATCATTTCTTTTAATATTTTAATAAAAATTGGAACATTGAGATAGGATATGATGGTAAATTTGATCTTTTTTTTTAAATTTCTGGTGAAAATTGTTAAATGATTAAATAAGATGTCCCAGTTGTGTTTAAATGTTAATAAGGTTTTAAATGACAGTTTATAGGGTCTGACCACCCTGTGGCAGTGACCTTTGCATAAAAACTTTAACATTAAGGACTTCCAGGAAAATAACACGTTTATTTAAGGTTTATTATGCATACAGATAAAGAGAATAAAATATTTATAGGCATTTTCATTAAAAAATGCTTTTGATATTTCATACAAATTTCTTACTTGTGCTACAATTGCTGCTTTTATTTTACTACTACTGCTTCGACTACTTCTTTCACTACTGATGCTACTGCTATTTCTACTTCTCTTTCTATTAATGCAGCTACTTCTCCTATTATTACTGCTGCTGCTGCTACTTCTACTATTATTATTACTGCTGCGACTTCTACTATTAACACTTATTATTTCTACTAATATTTCTATTACTACCAGTTAACACTACTACAATTTCTACTATCATTCCTTATGCCACTTGTTATTTTATTTTTGATTCTACGTTTAGTATTTTTACTTCCTCTACTATTACTACTAGATCCACTGCTTCCTTTTTCTATTACTACTACTGCTTCTCATTCTACCTCTAATACTTCATTTGCTCCTTTTTTACCTGTGATATGACTATTTAAATTACTACTGCTGCTGCTATTTCTATCAGCCATGTAGATAACAGAGTCAGGCAGGTTGTATGTACTCCAATGAAATATCAATCCTGTCTATCAAAAAGAAATAAATATTCATGTTATAGCAATTTACACTAAATAGTTATCTATTTGATCCTTTTATATTATATACCCTCTTAAATTTAAACCTTTTATATCTATTGCTTGTAAAATATTGGTAACTTTCTATTCCTTTCACTTAACGTGGTAAAACATACCCATTGAACCCGTCTTTAGTCATATGCATAGTTATGTAAAAAAGGTTTCAAAAAAGGTGTGTATCATTTATCTAAATGGTGATTGTAAATGTTTTAACCTGCAACCATGATAGCAAAATGTATGATATTTCCGAAAATGTATCATTTTACTGATTTTGATATCTTGTGAATAATTTTTACATGCTACAAGTTTTAAGTTTAGCAAGCACGTTTGCTATATGAACTGGTTTGGAAGTTGCTTATCTTTGTTATCAAAAAGTAATAAATATTCATGTTATTGCAATTTACACTAAATAGTTATCTATTTGATCCTTTTATATTATATACCATCTTAAATTTAAAACTTTTATATCTATTGCTTGTAAAATATTGGTAACTTTCTATTCCTTTCACTTAACGTGGCAAAACATACCCATTGAACCCGTCTTTAGTCATATGCATAGTTCTGTAAAAAAGGTTTGAAAAAAGGTGTGTATCATTTATCTAAATGGTGATTGTAAATGTTTTAACCTGAGGTCATAGCAAAATGTATAATCTTTCCAAAAATGTATAATTTTACTGATTTTGATATCTTGTTTATAATTTTTACTTGCTACAAGTTTTAAGTTTAGCAAACACGTTTGCTATCTTAACTGGTAAGGAATTTGCTTATCTCTGTTATCTATTTGTCTGCGAGAACAAATTATGTCTGTATATTTAATCTTTACAAGATAAAACTGAAATGAAAACAAGGATGGAATATTAGGATAAGAACTTCAAGATTAATCGTTGATATGCACGAGCGTGGGAATCCATTTAAAAGTGAAAGTTTTATTACATAATTTTTTATTGTGACATTCGATGCGTTTAACATCTAAAAAGACTATTAATGATATGAAATAGCTGACACTAAACGTTAATCGGACAGATGTGACGAACTTTATTGAGCAAGTATGTTTTAGGCAAAATATGATGCCTTAATTTCCGTTTGAACTATATGCTTACGGAATTAAACCTAGCTTATCAAAATAAATTTATCTGTACATTAAACAAACAAAAACAAGAAATTATTTGCCGATGGTGAATTCCATTTCAGTCTTATCATAATGCCAAACACTAAAAATCAAAAGAAAAGCTTTTTTGGAACTGAATCAAATGCCAATTATCACTGACCTTTGTAACTTATGAGCTCTAATACATAGTATAAAATAAACTTCCTTACTGTTTCTTTTATTTTGGTTAGCTTACTTAAGACGCCAAAAAATCCAGCTTCCTATCGTTCTTCCGACAAGAATTACTATTTATTGATACATGAGGCAATATATGATTAAAGACTTATTTTGAGGTCTATATTTGTTTACCTTATAAAACTACATGTATACCGTTTTTTTCTATTCCGGTAAAAATACAATATATTGACAGACAGATAAGACAACAATATTAAATCGGATCCATTAAAACATTGTATGATCATATTTCTTTAAGATTTTATTTACCGTTTTGTTTCAACGACTTAAAAACACATTATGTCTCAAAAACAAATCAATTTGAACTTTTTTATTAAAGGCATGAATTTGTAAATGTTTAAAGAATGGTTTAAGAGAATGTTAGATGCTTGTTATCTTAAGAAAGTAGTGATAAATGTGAAATAATTTGTGTTAAAAGTTACAAATGTAAACAAAGAATTGTTTGACTTCCATGCAAAATACTAATTCACTCACTATAACTGTACCTATTGCCAGAAAGCAACACATGAAAAGGACGGTCGTGGGTGACGCATTGAATAATATAAATATATATCAAAATTACAAAACCTTAAAGAAATAAAAATAAAAGCATTTCTGAGGTATAATGGACCTTTAAAATTATAAAAGCGTGACACCTGACTTAAATTGTGTACAAAATCATTATATCATTTATCATATGGGAGATCTTTGTCTTATGATTGGCGTTGTAACAGATCGCTGCTACAGTGTTAACTCACTGGACAAATTATCAAGAGTACACGTGTTCGATATCCCGCTACTCCGCTGACAAAATGTCTTTAGAAACAGAGGTCCCATGTATTT